GTAATACACGCGTGTATAAATAGACAGAGAGAGGGGGGAAGGGGGAGGGAGAGAGAGAGAGAGAGAGAATGAGAGAGAGAGAGAGAGAGAGAGAGAGAGAGAGAGAGAGAGAGAGAGAGAGATATGTAGGCAGTTGCAGATTCCCTAACTGCATACTCATTAGAGTAGCTTGCGCACCTTTTCATCTAGATCTATTCTCTTGTTCCTGTTCTCGTAGAACAATTCATGGAGAAATAGAACTGACTAAAATATGTGCCACAGTACGCACTCTATATGACTAACAAGCTCTTAGAAAACCCACAAAAACATTACAGATTTCTCGGGAGAAAAAACCCAAGTTACAACTTGATATTACAGTTTGTAAACTAGGCCTCAATTCCATTTTTTATGTACTAACGATAGCAGCTGAGAGAAAGGGAGAATGCCAAATATTGAACTCCTGTATGTAATACCAGGGACTGTGCTTTATTAGTTGCTTGTCTACAGCTTGAAAATCATTACACCGAAACTCGGGGTAAAGAGCAAATAACATGTGATTTTGACACCACCCGATCTCAGCCCCCGTTTTATATGAGTACGATCTTCAGAACTGCACTTTTTTATGAATGAAACGATGTTCCAACTGAGCGATCTAAGCCTGATGCAGTCACGCTAGGTGGCGTGAGAACAGAAGGAAATAGGACATTAGAAGAATTAACCCGATCTGGGGCAAATAACATTTTCGGGGCCTAGGGTCACACGTGACGTTGTCAGACTTTTCAGGACGCATCTAACAGATGCTGTGAAACGTGTCCGGATTTTCCCCCGTTATTTCAGACGATAATTTTTCGGGGGGGGGGGGTGTCTTTAATAAACGAGTTCAAAGCGCCAATTGACGGAATTTAAAAAAAATCACCAGCGTGAACGTTATCATTCATAATATTCTTTTAACAATCTGGACACGCGTACGCCTCCATCTTCTATGTGTGGTTTGCGACTATTTCTTCCTTTCTTACTTTTTTCTTTCCTTCTTTTTTCCCTTCCTACTTTGGCTTCAAGTTCGTATTTCCTACCTGAGTTATGTCGACTCTTCTCTTTGTGTGACTATTAATTTGTGTGACATCCCGTCTTCCTTCTGATCAACATCATCACTTTCTCCTCCTCCTCCTCCTCCTCCTCCTCCTCCTCCTCC